AAAGACTGGCGTTTGAGCTGAATCTAAGTGCACCTGACAGGTGTGCAGGTGGAAGGTATGTGCTGGGGAGAGGCTTACATGTGAGAGCATGGCGTGTTCTGGAAATCTAAAATACTGCTGATGTGCAGGGTGCTAATGGGACAGCATGAGGGGCTGAAGCTGGAAGGGGTATGTGAAGGCCTCATTTTAGGGTCTCATATACCAGGATCAAGAGTTAATGTGTGATACTGATAAGCAGTAGGTCATCGTGGATATTTGAATACGGTTTCCACGAACCTCCTGCCTTATTAGGAAGCGGGTGAATTGCAGTGTTAGGCGATGCTGAGCATGGAACCCAGTGCTTCATGTGTGCTGGGTCTGTGCCGTAGTGCTGAACTACAGCAGCCCATGACTTCTCTTGTAAGTCAGAGTAACCACAGTTGCTTGTAGTATTAGTGATTTAGGTTTTTAGGATACTGAAGGCTTTAGCAATTCCGAGGCCAAGGAACCAGTGGAAAAGAAGACGCAGGAGGTTTTGAGGAGAAAGAGGAGTTATGATGTGGTTATTTGCTGGAAGAGGAATTTGGAAAGATTTGAGAGAAATGACGCAGGATGCAGACAGCCTCTCTGTGGCGTAAGATTGAGTGCTGTCCAAAACAAGTCGTGAAACAGTATGGAGGACCTGATCACGGGTTTGTACCCGGCAGTTAGCACCTGGCTTTTGTTTCTTGTAGCCACTTAGCAGGTTAGGTAGAAGATCTAGGAAAAGAAGAGACAGTCACTCTATTCTGGTAGCTCTGCAGGAAATTGAGTTACAGCCTCAGTGACTAGTGGGTCACTCTTGTATCTTGACACCAGGAGTCCCGCAGCTCTGGTACGCATGATCAGGTCACAAGAAGGGACAAGCCGGAATAGCGGTGTTAGAGCCGAAATGGAAAGCACTGTGTCCACGTTGACTTTCTAACCTTTTCCTTTTTTTTAAATTAGTACACATTTTTGTTCGACACAGTAATTGTGTATATTGATGAGATACAGTGCGGTATTTCAATACATGGGTGTTGTATGCAATAGTCAGATCTGGATAATTGCTTTATTGATCACCTTAGACACATGGCATTTTCCAAGTTAATTTTATTCTCACTTTTATATAATTTGACAGGTAGCTTTTAAATATTGCCAGAAATATGGAAGTGACAAAGTACGGGTGATAACACTAATGAAGAATCGTGGAAAAGGCGGCGCTGTTAGGATGGTAATGTGTACTTCCCAATTTGTACCAACAATATTAAGGTAGTTAAGTAACCTTTTTTGCAGACTGTAATACACATACTGTAGAGCTCAGTAGATGAATTCCAGCATTTCAGGTTACAGCTTCTTTTTAGTAATAACGATGTATTTTTCCTGTTCAAGTCTAAATGTGTAATACCTGCCTTAAGGTTTAAAGTTTTGTCACCTGTGTCTTTGATGAGTTAGCAAATATTATGTAACATTTTTTCTATTACACTTACCCAAGGCACTGCATTGAGCATGCGAGCGTGAGCTAAGGTGAATCCTGTGTTGATCTGGCCTGATGAAATATGCAGTTTAGTAGGAAAGACAGGCGTTTGCGTAAGTGAAAAGGATGATGACATGTAGGAGACAGGTGCAGGCGAAGTGCTAAGGAGTTCCAAATCGGAGTGCTTGCTTCCACCTGAGGTGTATTAGGTATGAATCAAGATACGGTGAAAGATCAAAAATGAGTAAATGTGAAAGAAAGCCTGAATAATAGTGCCTTAAATAACTTAGAGGTTTATTTATTTTTTCCCTCAGAAAAAGTAGCCTCGAGGTAGAAGGTCCATGGACTCGGTGAATGACTCCAC